TTCACGTTTCAAGAGCTGATCGGGCGTGCAACCGGGGCGGCCGACTACATCGAGCTGATGCGCAGCTATGACGCCTTCATAATATCTGACGTCCCGGGTATGACGTACCGCGAGCGCGACCTTGCGAGGCGGTTCATCACCTTCATCGACGCGGTCTATGAGTCGCATGCCAAACTCGTGCTCACCACGGCAGTGCCGCTGACCCAGCTTTTCGTTTCGCCGGACGAGCTCCGCGAATCGCTCAAGAAGGATGGGCTGTCATCGACAGCGCACGAGAGCCACGGTGAGGAGTCGGTCAGCCATGCCATGCAGCACATGATGGAAGACATGGATAGCAACATCGACCAGCTAAAGAGCTCGAGTCTCTTCTCCGGCGAAGAGGAGCGTTTTGCGTTTGCGCGCGCGCTTTCCCGCTTGACCGAAATGTCGAGCAAGGAATGGGTTGAGCGCGGCATGGGGTTGGAGAGTCACGGCGGCAAGAAGGAGAAGGACGAGTGGGCCAAGGTCCGGAGTCGACAGATGGAGGATAGCATGTGAGCGTGCGAGAGTGAGAGAGAGAGAGAGAGAGAGGCGTACAGTGGTTCACAAGGGCGTTCCCATCCTGATTCGCATACCCAGTATAAAACGTATTGATGACAGCGTTGTTAGGCATATATACATGTTGTAGATAGCTTAAGCCTTGGACTGTGCGACAATGACTATATGATGTATATAGAGACATATGAAGGGGGTAATACAATATACCATAGCTTTCTGCGACTCTTCGGCCAAGGTACACGCAAATCTGGTCACAATAAGAGCATGGCATTTTGCTCAACATGTTTGGCAACCCCACTTATATCACCTTGCCGTCTCATATGAAATACGATCTAACCTAGCATAACACCCCCTTCCCAACCTGACTTTTGACTTGCTACATAATAAAGTTATTCTTCGTTAATACCTTCTCAGCCGAGCTACTTGTCGGGCTCGGCGCCGTAGTTGCTGAACCAGGTCTTCGACGCAGTCGTCCGGCCTCGTCATGTTCCCTGTCCCACGCATCCAGCTCGTGCACTGGCACCCTCACCAGGCGGAGGGAATTCGCGCCCTCGTCGTCTACGGTGCGGATCTCGGGGCGCAGTCGGTAGCCTCCCCACTTTGGCAAGAGGTACATCCAGAAGACGTAGTAGATTCCGCAAAGAACGATCCTTTTTTTTGCCCAAGAGTCAAGTCAGTTTTGTCAGTCAGAAGTAGTGGGGGTTGGGGGAAAAGGGGGGGGGAAACAAAACAGGTAAAAAGTGAGAACTTAAAACATACGTGCTAATCCCAACAGCGGCGTAGGTCGCGTACCAGAAGCTGACTTCGCCTGCGTACGGGCCCCCCTTGGGCGGGATCCAGGGGGTGGCGATGGTGTACAGCTGCACCAGCAGGAAGAAGACGAGGCAGACGTCCCAGGCCTTGAAGCGCTGACAACTACTACTACTCCCCTCGTCTTCTTCTTCTGCTCCTTTCTGCTTCAGACGCCTGTGCCTGTGGCGGATGATGTACACGCCTACGGCCATGGCGGTGAGGAAGATGCCGTCTGGGTAGCTCTTCAGACTGAAGACTGTATGTAGGGGATCGGCCGTTAGTTTGACTGTTTTTGGGTCTTTTTTTTTTTTTCTACAGTGCTCGGGATGATATTGTCGCAAACAAAACCACAAGATAAAAGAGCTATTGGTCTGGTCTGGTGACTTTGACGTACCGAATTGGAAGGCGTCGCCTGCCGGAGGGGCGGCGATGAAGATGACGGTAACGAGCCACTTGATCAGGTACGGGCCCAGCGGTGTCCCGAAGGGCTTCGTCGAGACCCAGAACTCTGTATATGGGAGCACGCCTTGTCTGCGAGATAAAAAAGAAACCGCGCGCGGCAGTTTTGTCCTTTGTCAGTTTTTTTTCTTTTTGGCTTTATTTGTTTTTTCATCAGTTTACTTTAGCTTACCTTCCTATTTCGCGGATGAGACGGGACTGGCTGATGAGGTCGGCGAGGATGTACCCGAAGGCGCTGATCAAGACCAGCGCGTTCAGGGCGTCTTGCGCGCCGCCTTGGCCGAAGACGGCGGCGAAGAAGACGGATGCCGCGGTGGCTTTGGACGCTGCAAATGTCTCCTTGGGTACTGCATTTTTTTTTCGGTATAGCCGTAGGTTAAGTAGTTGAATAGGCAAGGTGGAGAAAAATCCAAAAAGCAAAGACAGGGTTCGAAAGGATGGTAGTAAAATAGAAAAACATACCGGCGGCGAAATATGCGATATTGCAGAGAAGGTACAGCGTCGAGACGATGGCGACGGACACGGCGCCGTTGCGCTTGAGCGTCGGGATCGGGTTCCTGACCTCGTTGACGAGCGCGAAGGCGTTTCCGTAGCCCGAGTACGAGAAGATGATGTTGACGAGGGCCACGGACAGGTCGTTGCCGTTGTCGGTGGTGCCCTCGAACGCGTGCCGGAAGTTGGCCGTCGGGTCCGGAATGTGACTGACGTTGCCGCCGAGCACGACGAAGCCCGTTATGCTGATGCTGTGTGTCGTTTAATGGGTGTGAGCAGAGGAAGAGGAGCAGTGAGAGTTGGTAGATGGGCAATACTCGGATGCTCCCTAGTGGTAGGGACTTGGGAGGCATGCCGGGAGGCCTTACAAGATTAAGGTCAGGATCTTGACGAGACCGAGCAAGTTGGTCGCCCAGAGGGAGTATTTGTTATGTGCTACAACGCCTGTAGTGTCAAGAGTGTGAGAGCATGCTCGAGTCTCTTGGGTCTTTCTGCTTCCCCCGTTCACTTACAAATCACGGCGATGGTATAGGCGGCTATTGCAACACCTTTTACCTGCCAATCCGTTGGCGTCTTGCTGTTAGACAATACAAAAGCCGTCAGCTTCGCTGTATACACAGGCCTTTACACCCACGGTAGAGCCTGAGTGGGTCCAAGAGACCGAGACGCCTAAGGCCATCCGGGAGGCAAGGAACGGTATGTAACTAGATGGTATCCTTACTGAGCGAGCGCCCAAACGTAGTTCGACAACACTAATAAGAACAAATGTCATGTTAGCTCTTATGTCATCCCATGCACTGCACAGGTTGTAGGTTAATATGTATGTCGAGATCACGTACCTATCGCGTTGCTGCTACCGAACGAGAGGACAACGGAGTAAAATGCGAAGGCGATGGGAAAGAAGTGTCTGGGCCGCGGATACGCCTGTTCGAGGTAAACGACCTCGGATCCAGAACGACTGGGGAAGTAACTCGCTAGCTCGAGGTAGACGGCGAAGCCCGTGAAGGCGAGGAAGATGCCGATGACCCAGTAGATCAGGGCGAGACCGATGGACCCCGTCCTGTCGAGAATGGTTCCGGCTATATCACACGCGAGGTATCGATTGTCAGCATCTCAAAATTTCAACGACGGGAGGTATAATATCGAGTGTGCCTTTCGCCCATCTGCTTTGGAGATAGATGATAGGAAAGCCAGGGCTCTTAGTCCGAGGTGTGCAAGTGACAAGACTGTTTAGGTATGGTATGGCACACTTACGAACTGAGAAGATACCGGTGCCGATCATCTGGTTCACGGTGAAGAAGATAACCGTCACCCAACCGACGTGATATCCGAGCGGCGACCTGGACTCTACGGGAGCGCCCGCAGCTTCTTGGTACGTCGTCCCCGAGCCATTCTCGGCTTTGACGGCCGTATATGTTAAATCGCCATCCCGGATCACCTCTACGTCACCTGATGAGGAAGAGGTGGAGGAAGAAGAGGAGGAGGAGGTGGCAGTATTCGCAGCCGACGGTTTCCTCACCTCTTGCGTCGCCGTGAAGCTGCCCCAGAATCTTGAGATACCCATCCCTGGAATGGCTTCGAGGTTGATCGCGGCAAGAGATTCCCCAGTCGGCGGAAGATGGATATAAAAGTGCACTACGCAGAGAAGGTTTCTATGTAGAGGCCGCGTAGAGAGAGAACCAATGAGGTAATGGGCGGTGCATGACGGCGACTTCTATATACCCGGTTCATTGAATAATCATCCTTTATATCGCCCAGCAGAGTCAAGCGCCGCACTGGCTGACGTCTTCAGCAAGAGTTGTCCGCAGATCATCCCCTGCAGGTCTCTCCCCGGGGAGCCAAAAATTGTATAAAACACCAAGACCGACCCCCTCCCAAGTTCCCATTCTCCTACCTTCATATCCCGGGGTTTTCCAACACAAGTACTTGGTAGCCCACCCGGTAGCCCACGAGATTTTTCGCTCATGAGGCCCAAGACGTCGGGACAAATAAGTGAGTGTCCAAGGTCCACCTCTCATTGGGTCAGGTTTGAACTTCGAGCATTACTTGGTAAAAGGGTTTCATCCAAATCCGAATTGTATCAAGAAGATACTTACAATGGAAGGCCCCGCAGAGGCACATCGTAATAACCCATGTTTCTGACCGTGCTTCTGACCTTGCAGGTGAAGTTGATCCTTTGATTACCGAAAGAGAATGGGATAATAGTGTTAGAACTTAGCAAAGGGATTGATCATTGCAGGCAAAGACTAAAGCTGACCAGGAACGAAGGATGAAGCATATCAAGATACTTGCAAAGCATAGTCCTTAGTTAGCCATCTCTCATTATCATGTTTGATGCCGCACGTGGTTCTCTTAGTTACAGGTATGGATTTACTTGTATGTATGTCTCAAGTTGAGGACCGTGGCTTTGTAAGGATACTTGTAAATACCGATAATGTGGGTATTCCCAGGTACGACAACGCCCCACTCTCTCTGACCTTGCATAAGCCGACCCACTCGGACCAGAAACCGGGTTAAGTAACACAAAAGTGAAAAACTTCTAGTCAACTGGTTGCCAGACGTGTTGTTGGGATGCTAATAAAGGAAAACAACTGTTGAGCCAATAGCTACAGGGACCGCCTGCTGCAGACTGGCAGTACAGCAGCACAAAAAGAAAAGAAAGTTTTCCAAATCGCACAGCACAAGGGACCAGGGTGAAAGAAAAAAGAAAAAAAAAGCTGTCTCCCGAGCGTGAGTCGAACACGCGACCTGTGGATCTCCAAGGAAATTTCAATTACAGTCCATCGCTCTACCAACTGAGCTATCAGGAGTTTGGTTGATTGCAGGGTTCCGTAAAAGCCCTCATGACAGTATGTTCCGCCGGATCCTGTGTCTGGGAGAGTGAAGTCTTGGCGTGAGGGGAGAATTTCACTCAAGTCTCTTAAACCCTACCACATACACTTTGGTATTTCCCGATCAACAGGGCGGACGACATGAGAGAATGACACAAGATACTAGGTTACCTGTCTGTGGCAGTATGACTGCGCTAATACGACGTCGTTATCCCTATCCCAGATAGAAGCTGAGCCTTCCCGACGTCAAAAAGCGTCCGGACTCCGAGGGATCCCACAAGCTTCACTGCATCATGATTCTCCCTTTACATTCGACACCCCGACATTGCCGGAAAGGAAGTGTCGACTGTCTTGACCGGACAGCAGAATCTTGATCCATTGTCCAGGCCGCCTTGAATGTCGCTGTGGTCGAGATACCAAGCGTAGCAATTGCATGTAAGCCAAGTTCGTTCCGGAAAAACGAAAATAACGCTCAGAAAATTGCGGTATTAGCCGTACGGCGCGGTTCAATAGGCCACCTACTGTCCGCATGGGTTATTGGCCTGTTTTATTGGCCTGGGCTTACTACTAAATACACTTCGCTGCATGTCAGGTCTGACATGCAATGTTTGAGGAAGGTCAAACAGCAGGCTGCAAGTATGCTCGGTAATAGCTGCCTATTGCCTCCTGTCTGGACTCTTTACAGAGGGAAAAGAGCTATGGCTTCCATTTGATCTGAAAGACAGGGAAGATTCTTCCCTTGCATCTCGAAGACCACGCAAAACCGGCCGACCTATTCTCGTCCCCGACGTAACTTCGCTCGGGATTCGAAATCTCGAAAATCCCCTCTCGAGTAGCGTAATATCCTCTGCTACCGCCAAAGCCGCGGCTCGTTGGAGTCCATCGACTGACCCATGGCCATGGCGCTGGGAATCCATTGCCAGGAAGCGGGGTGTTCGTTATCCACCTCCCTAAAACGAACGGCGTGCATGAACAGACCGAGAGGTGGAGGTTGGTGTCTGCGCAGGGGGGCTCCTGGACTCTCTTATATATTCGACTCGACGAGAACTCGATGCAAGGGTATGTAAGCCCTAGCCGTGTGCGAAGGCCGTCGAATCGCGGCACAGCGCCAGGGGTCGGTGGTGATGATTTGCTCTAGCGCTCGTGAGCTGAACTCTGGGGCGTTTCTCGCTTAAGTATGTCGTGGCTCATCAAGATCGAAGACTGCTGTATGCCTTATGTCTGGAGAAGGTCTCTCGAGGCCGCCTCCTCTTCGCCAATCACTTCGCTAGGACTTGGGGGTGCTTGGTCTCGCGATGTGGTTTCCTATGCTGGAGATGCCCTGCGTGTATCAAGGCGCTTAGGAGGAGTCCCCTTGGTGTCTGCCTCACCGGCAGGAGGGGAATGGGAGAGGGGGAGGGAGGTGAGAAGGGGTGTCCTGCGAGAAGGATGTAAACCGACTATAAAAGATCAGAGTCGTATCCGGGATCTTGGGAGAGCTCATCTCGGTATTCTGAAAGGGCTCACTCGCCAAAGATTATAGCGCTTCCTATTCTTTTCTACGAACTCGGAAACCATGAGAACGTCTAATAACCTTCTTCCAAGCCACTGGCTTCATTCCGTGTTCACCGCACTGTCCCTCGTGTCTCTCGCAGCAGCCCAGTTCCCATGGGCCACCGCCATCCCTCGTACAGGATGGAACGTTACGGCAGATAGTTCCCAGGCGGGCAACGAAGCCGCCAGAGCCATCGACGGGAACAGCAGCACGTTCTGGCACACGGCGTACAGCCCCACTGTGGCACCGCTGCCGCATTATATCCAGGTCGACATGAAGAAGAGCTACGTCATCAACGGCGTCTCGTACCAGCCGCGCCAGGACGGCGGCTCCAACGGGAACATCGGCCAGCACACCGTCACGGTCAGTAACGACGGCACGACGTGGAGCAGCCCCTTGCAGTACGGCGCCTGGCTCAATGACAAGACGACCAAGTCAACCTTCTTCTCCAATGTCACCGCGCGATACGTCCGCATCACCGCTCAGACAGAGGCCCAAGGGGCCAACAATCAGTGGTCGAGTATGGCGGAGCTTAATATCTATAGCCCAGATGTCAAGCTCAATGCCTCTACCTTCGCGCCGCCTCCGACAAGCCAGGGGCGGTGGGACACGACGCTCGTCTTGCCGATTGTTGCTGCGGCCGGGGCGTTATCCGCGCAGGGAAACGTGATATTTGTCAGTAAAATCCCATGTTCGCCTATCTGTTCCATTTGCATACGAATTATGAGGGTGCATTTCACCATCTTAACACGAGGGACATGTTGAGTCGTTATGAACTGAGCTGACCTCGCCCTAGTGGAGTGCATATCGGCCTGATCTCTTCGGCGGCGGTACAGGACAGACCCTGACGGCAATGTGGACGCCCTCTTCTCAGACCGTGACGCAGCGGACCGTCGCAGAAACTCATCGTAAGTGATGATTCTCAGTTCCAACACCTAAGTACCTCCCCGGGAGATAGAGACATCGTTTCTTCTTTTGTTCGGAAGGGCTTTAGCTCCTTCCCCCCTTTTCGCAAGACCCTCAGAAATCGCATCCAAGAACGGAGCTGTGTTCCAAAAGACGAGGAAAATTAAAGCTGACTCATAACCATTTGGCATCGGAAAGACGACATGTTCTGCCCGGGCATCTCCCTCGACGCCAACGGCCGGATCACGGTGACGGGCGGCAACGATAGTAAGAACACGAGCGTATTCAGCCCTTTGACGTCGACCTGGGCCAGCGCGGCCGAGATGGTCATCGCGCGCGGATATCAGTCGAGCGTGGCGCTGAGCGACGGTCGCGTCTTCACAATCGGTGGCTCCTGGAGCGGCGGCCAGGGCGGCAAAAACGGCGAGGTGTACGACCCAACGACCAACAAGTGGACTTCGCTGCCGGGATGTGCCGTGGCGCCCAGTGAGTATAACTCTCCACTCTTCCCTCCCTATTACCACGAGCTCGGCTTCAGGTTACTGGCGAATGGATATTGTACTCACCGGAATCTCTCCAGTGCTCACGGCCGACGCCCAGGGAGTCTACCGGGCAGACAACCACGGCTGGCTCTTCGCCTGGAAGAACAGCACCGTCTTCCAGGCCGGCCCCAGTAAAGCCATGAACTTCTACAAGATCCCCAACCCGGGCAGCGGCAACGGATCCTACGTAGGCGCCGGCCTCAGGGGCTCGGACGGCGACGCCATGTGCGGCAACGCGGCCATGTACGACGCCGTGGCGGGCTCGATCCTGACGGCCGGCGGCTCGCCCTCGTACCAGGACGTCGACGCGACCAGCAACGCGCAAATCATCGCTCTCGGCGACGGCAACACGGTAACGGTGACCAAAATACCCAACATGTCCCGGGCCCGCGCCTTTGCCAACTCGGTCATCCTCCCCGATGGCACTGTGCTTGTCGTCGGCGGCCAATCACACCCCGTGCCTTTTACGGACACGACGCCCGTGTTTCCCGCCGAGCTCTTCGTCCCCTCGTCCAAGACGTGGCGCATCATGGCGCCGATAGCAGTCCCGAGGACGTATCACAGCATCGCCCTCCTCATGCCCGACGCCACCGTGCTGGCCGGCGGCGGGGGGCTGTGCGGGACGGGTTGCGCGGGGAACCATTTCGACTTGCAAGTCTTTTCGCCGCCTTACCTGTTCCACGCGGACGGCACCCGAGTCGGTGCGAGGCCTGCCATCGCGACCGTTTCTGCGACGCAGGTGAAGCCCGGCGCGACGATAACCGTGACCTTGTTGACGACGGCTGGGCAGGGCGTGACGTTCTCGTTGGTGAGGTTCGGCGCGGCCACGCATACCGTGAACACGGACCAGAGGCGCGTGCCGCTGCCCCCTACGACGGCCAGCGGGCTCATCTATACGCTCGCCCTGCCCGCGGACCCGGGGGTCCTGGTTCCGGGGTATTGGATGTTGTTCGCCATCAACTCGGCTGGTGTCCCGAGTGTGGCGACGACGATCAAGGTCTTGTTGGCCTGAGACATGGGAGGACAAGTTGTCAATTTTCCCTTCCTACTTGTTGCGGATCAGGCACTAACTGTCTACCGTGGTTATGAACTTGGGAAGGCAATCGTCAAGACGCTACTTGCTGCTTGCGTCTATGGAGATAGTATTGGAGGATTCATGGGTTTTGATTTATGATCATATCTACGTCACACGTGTATGCTTGTCTATACCTACCTAGCTACTACTTAACATAGGCCGCCATAGCCATCGGACCGGTGATCCATATTGTTTTTCAGTGTTCACCATTAACTCACATGCTCCAACGATGTTAGCGTTAGGTGAAGAAACTACTGTGCTAGGAGACAGAACGGAGACGCGTCAATATATACTTACTCGAGTCCAAGCAATTCTCAGGAGGAAGAACGCGCAGAATCCACAACGATGATCTTTGTCCTCCTCATCCACCGGGCGCCTCGGAGTCATCTACTTTGCAAACAAACTCCGGCGTCTCGCGCTCTCGGAGTCCCTCGGCGACTCGTTGACGCTGGCTCCTGAGCGGGGGCCGCCGTCCGGCGCGTCCAGCAGGTTCGAGGTCCGGGAACCCTGCACTCTACGCGTACCCGTACTTGTTGTCCGCTCCGCGAGGGCGGCGCGGCGCCGCGGTACGAACCAGGACCTAACTCGTCGTTGGTTGAACTTGCACACGCGCTGTTCGACGACGACCGCGCTCCGCCCCTGCAGCTGCTGGATCGCGTCCTCGGCCAGGACCCAGTCTAGGGCGTAGTCTAACCTAGCTTGGACGAATCCAATGTAGGGGTCCAGGGTTCGAGGAAGAAACGTCTTCAGGAGGTTCGTGGTTGATGACTAGACTAACCTTACGCCGTCGATAAGGGCCGAGCGAGGAGACGCGTCATCGTGGCTCTTGCCGGACCCGGACATCTGGATGAGGAAGTTCATGTTTTGTCTCTCTCTCTCTGTCCCTTTTTCGAATGTGTTTGTCAATACCCTGTTTAATCTA